TTTTCCCGAATTGTGTCAAGATTCAAAAAGGTGACAAGATAACCATCTGCGAACCTGTAAGAAGTGTCACCCGATGTGATGAAGTGCCATCAGCTGTTACACAAATGGCATCCAAAGAAATACTAAAACATCTAGAGCAGCCATGGGATAACCTAACATCTGAGGAGAAACAGAAGGCTAAGCAGTTCCTGCTAAAGCATGGCAGTATTTTTGAGAAGAACAACAGTGGAAGAACGGATTTTGTAAAGCACCGGATTAATACTGGTCATGCTCAGCCGATTCGACAACGTCCTAGAAGGGTTCCCCTTTCCAAACAACAAGAAATGGAGACAATGGTAGATAAGATGTTAGAAGATGGAGTTATCGAAGAATCATCAAGTCCATGGTCATCTCCTGTTGTTTTGGTGACGAAGAAAGATGGTAGTACACGATTCTGCGTGGACTATAGGAAGCTCAATGACGTTACTAAGAAAGATAGCTACCCACTGCCACGTATAGATGACACATTAACAACCCTGGCAGGTTCGTGCTGGTTCTCCACTCTCGACTTAAAGAGTGGATACTGGCAAGTTGGTCTGGACGAGGAAGATAAAGAAAAGACGGCTTTTTCTACAGGAAACGAACTATACCAATTCAAGGTCATGCCGTTTGGATTATGCAATGCTCCAGCCACTTTCGAACGTCTCATGGAGGTGGTGTTAAGAGGATTAACTTGGAAAACGTGCTTGGTTTACCTCGACGATGTATTGGTTATGGGAAGAACGTTTGAGGAGCATTTGCGAAATTTAGAAGAAGTCTTCGGCCGTATACGGAATGCTCACCTGTACTTGAACCCGAAGAAGTGTAGCTTATTCCAGCGACAAATGGAATTCTTGGGTCATGTAGTCTCGGCAGACGGAATTTACACCGACCAGAAGAAAATCGCTGCGATCAAGGATTGGCCTAAACCTCACGACAAGCATGAACTTAGAAGTTTTCTGGGTTTATGCACATATTACAGAAGATTTGTCAAGGGTTTTGCCAACATAGCTGCACCTTTACATCGGCTTACAGGTGATGAAGTCGGCTACGAATGGAACACCGATTGTGATGTAGCCTTTGGAAGACTTAAGGCGGCTTTATGTTCAAGTCCTATTTTAGCCTACCCACAACAACAAGGGAGGTATATCCTGGACACAGACGCCAGCAACATCGGCATAGGTGCAGTGCTGTCACAAGTGCAAGATGGCGAAGAACGAGTGATAGAATATTACAGTCGAGTTCTATCCAAACCAGAAAGGAATTACTGCGTTACCCGGAAAGAGCTGCTAGCAATTGTAAAGGCCGTTGATCATTTTCATAAATATTTGTATGGCCAAGAATTTTTAATTCGGACAGATCATGCGGCTCTCAAGTGGCTTATGGAGATGAAACAACCTAAAGGTCAAATAGCACGATGGCTCGAGAAGCTCCAACAGTATCACTTTACCATCCAACATCGTGCTGGAAAAATGCATGGTAACGCAGACGGTTTATCCAGAAGACCCTGTCAAACCAATTGTAAGCACTGCTGTAAAACGGAACAACGTGAAGGCACTGTCATGATAAGGAGTTTTAAACTTGGAACCGATGAACAGTGGACGACGACACAATTGAGGAAAGATCAAATGGAAGATCCAGACATCGGAGCAATACTACGGCTCAAGGAAGGTAACGGCGAGAGACCACCGTGGCAGGATATTGCGGACAGAAGGCTGGTTTTCAAAGCTCTCTGGGCTCAGTGGAATTCACTGGTGATTGAGAATGGATTGTTAAAGCGCACGTGGGAAAGTGCGGATGGCAGGACAGTAACAACTCAGTTACTGGTACCAAGGAAGAAAGTTACCTAGGTATTGGAAGAAATTCACGGTGGTAAAACTGGAGCCCATCTTGGAGTAAACAAGACCTTGAGCAAGCTGAGAGATCGTTTTTACTGGATGGATTATTGCGAAGATGTCAAGAAATGGTGTCGACAATGTAAAATTTGTGCAGCCAGCCAAGGACCAAGCACTCGATCTAGGGGAAAAATGAAACAATATAACGTTGGACTGCCATTCGAAAGAATTGCTGTTGACATTGCAGGCCCATTCCCTGAAACGCACAAGGGCAACAAGTACGTTTTAGTGGCGATGGATTATTTCAGTAAATGGCCAGAAGTTTTTGCCATTCCAAACCAAGAAGCATTGACTGTAGCTGAAGTATTAGTCAATAATGTCTTCAGTAGATTTGGAATTCCCTTAGAGCTTCACACTTCAAGGAACTTCGAGTCAAGACTGTTCCAGAAGATGTGTGATCTGCTTGGTATTCACAAGACTAGGACAACGGCTTTACGTCCGCAGTGTAATGGGATGGTCGAGAGATTCAATAAGACCACCGGATGAAAGCTCGTTACGACCTCAGAGCTAATTCTACGGGATTTCAACAGGACGATAGGGTATGGTTGTATAACCCACAGCGCAAGAAAGGAAGGTCCCCAAAGTTAACTCCAGCATGGCAAGATCCTTATACAGTCATCAAGAGGATAAATGATGTTGTGTACCGGATTCAGCGCAGCCCTAGAAATAAGATGAAAGTAGTTCATCTCGATCGATTGAAGAGATACCAGACAGGAAACCTTGATCGGGACGATCAAATTTGAGAAGGGGGCAATGTTAAGGTCAAGGTGTATTACTGGTTGCATAACCGCAACGGTGCATTGAGGAACCTGGCGAATTCGACAGAAAGTAAAAGAAAATTACAGAATTCTTTAGAAAATTCCAGAAACCATCGCCAGGGGTATATAAGGCCCGCACTTTGACAGTTGGAGCAGTCTGAAGATAGTCTGAAGTCTGAAGTTTGATAATACCGCGAAATACCGTTAGAGTAATAGTAGTTGCATAAATTGTGTTGTAAATAGTATAAGTTGTGTGTACAGAGTGAGACAAATAAATTCGTTAAGTATTTTATCGTGAGTTTAAATAGTGGACCCACGGAATCCGTAACATTAGTATAGATAACAATTTTAATAACTACCAATATTTATTCACAACGTAAAATAAAACAACAAATTGTTGAGTCTACCCTACATTACATCATATTTTTACACGTTTTGAATAAAATTAGAACGGCATTGATAAATCGGAATTTAAGTCGGTCATTTCATTCAGGAGCCCGTCGCGTTCCATTTTAGAGTTTTGATATGCTCCTTCCTTAATCTTTTTATTCAAATATTAAAACAAATAAGAAAAAATGCGGATTGTGCACTGAATTTCAAAATATTTTAATTTAATTTTGGTACTATTTGACGCATAGTATAGTTTGGTTTGGTTTAATTTTTTAACACATGATTTAACATACCGATAATTTGACCAGACAAAAGACAGCAGGAAAGACAATGTTGCTCTATCCACTCAATATCTGTAAATTTTGCAATAAAATTTTTAAGGCTTCATTTATCCAAGGGTATCAAAGTTTTTAATGCTAAATATTTACTGAAGTTTATTAATTGATCAGTTATTGTGTTGCAATAATAAAAATAATACTACCTCATACAGAGTGTCTACAAATTTATTTAAAAAAATGTCTAGCTTTAAACGGTAATAACTTGTTTAATTTAAATGGAACACCTTGTCTATTTTAGGAGAATCAGATGCACAATTTAACTGTCTATAAAATTGTATTGCCATTTTTTACCTATCCCTTCAAGTTTTCATAGAAAATAGCATTTTCTTATACTTTAGACCTCATTTATGAATATACCCATGGAATATTGACATTTTAGATTGTTTTTAAAACAACAAATGTACAAAATGTACAGGTGCTAAAAACGATAATATTACTAGCCCAATTGTATACAAAAAGAAAAGATTTAAATTTTTATAAAAGAGTATACCATTAATTAAATATACCACCATTATTTCCACCCAAATATTAATTAATTACATACTTAATTGTGTTACTTAATAAATTATACTAAATAAATGTGGATCTGAATCAGAAATCAATATAATAATATGTTATGAAAATGAACGTCTCTGTTGTTATTAATATGCATTCGTCAAGAAATGAAATAAAAATTTTAAGTTGTTACATTTTACCACACTGTCTAATACACATACACGATTCGGTTTTTTAGTATTTGAAGGAATTATTATTAATCAACGCAAACAGTCAATTAATGTAGTTTGAATCCTGGAATCATATTAATTGGTCCGCTTTAGCAAATATTTAAACAGGGTTTTTTATGTTTTTAATGAAATAAACGAACTATATCGATAATATTAGTATTTGTACTCTTTAAAAATTTGTTACATCTTTAAAAAGAATAGAAATAATCTAAAATGTTAATATGCCATGGGTATATTGATAAATGAGGTCTAAATTATAAGAAAATGCATTTTCTACGAAAACTTGAAGAGATAGGTAAAAAATGGTATAATACAATTTGGTAATAAAAAATGGTATAATAGACAATTAAATTGTACATCTGATTCTCACAAAATATACAGGGTGTTCCATTTAAATTAAACAAGTAATTGCCGTTTAAAGCTAGTAATTATTTAAAATACATTTTAGATACTCTGTAGAAGGTAGTATAATTTTTAATATTTTAACACAAAATTTTGTAAATAGAAATACTTCAGTACAATATTTGGTTTTAAAAACTTAAATATGCCTAGAGAAATTAAGCATTAAAATAATTACTGTATTTTGACAAAAACCTAAATAGGTATTTCAAAAACGGTAAGATTAAAATGTTAAAACCTTTATCAAATTTACCTTTATTTTAATCGTAGAAACTAAAAAGATAATAATATACAGGGTGTTCCATTTAAACAAATACAACATTGATATTTTAAATTTATTTGGTACACTCCGTATCTAATTGTAGCTCAAATAGTCCTTCAACGAACCCAAAACTTATCATTTGCAAAAATCTAATCGTTTAGCTACAATACTCCGTGTCGTATGTGGTGAGCAACCCCGTATACAAATTTGACACATGTCAATATTTTCATTACAAAATAGTAAAAAAATCGGACGAATTATGCCTTTGTCTACTATTATACGACAGGGTTACGTAAATTCCATTAAATTCTTGTATAAATCAAAATTATCCGTTAGAAAACGATCAACGAAACATCCGCTCATAACACCAACTAAATATTTTATATTATCTATCGGTATGGTGGAGTATGTTTGGAGCCTAATGCCAAACAATGAAGATAAAGAAAAAATCGCAAAATATTGGCAAAACGAACCCCTGGGCGATGTCATAGAAAAAGCGGATCAAATGCTTAAAGAAGGCCAATATATGGAAGTTTATGAAATGCTAAATCGGTTAAAATACAGGTGATATTTCAGTCAACTTATACAGGGTTGTTCACCACATACGATACGAAGTATTGTAGCTAAACGATTAGATTTTTACAAATTGTAACTTTTCGGTTCGTTTGAGGACTATTAGAGCTACAATATAAAAATATTTTAACAAGATACAGAGTGTCCCAAATAGTAAAAAATATTATAGTTATATTTTTTTTTAAATGGAACACCCTGTATATTATTCTATTTTTAGATTCTACGATTGAAACAAAAGTAAATTTCATTAAGGTTTATCGCACTTAAACCTTACCGTTTTTGAAATATTTTCAATTTTATGAAATTGCAGTAAAAATTTTAAGGCTTCATTTCTCCAAGGGTATCGAAGTTTTTAATACTAAATATTTACTGAAGTTTATTTATTGATCAGATATTGTTTTGCAATAATAACAATACTACTACCTTATACAGAGTATCTAAAAATGTATGTTAAATAATTACTAACTTTAAACGGCAATAAGTTTTTTAATTTAAATGGAACACCCTGTATATTTTACGAGAATCAGATGCATAATTTAATTGTCTACCAAATTGTGTTATACCATTTTTTACCTATCTCTTCAAGTTTTCGTAGAAAATACATTTTCTTATAATTTAGACCTCATTTATCACTATACCCATGGAATATTGACATTTTAGATTATTTTTAAAGATGTAACAAAATTTCAAAAAGTACAGATGATACTAATATATAGTTCGCTTATTTCATTAAAAGATAAAAAATTGTTTAAATATTTTTTGTTAAAGAGGACCAATTAATATGATCCCAGTATTCAAACTACATTAGCTAATTGACCGTTTACGTTAATTAATAATAATTTAGAATTAGAATTAGAATAAGTGGGAGGGGAGTTAATCTCTGCGACCTTAGAGATCTATTGTGTCCCCCTTTCTTGAGTTATAACTCATCATACAGTCCCAGGACTTCCTACGGAGACCCGTGTCCCTCACAGTCGAGGAGCTACGACCCAGGCCGGGTAGACGAAACGCAGTCGCCTGTTGGGTTTAGATGGGGAGGTAGGCTCCTCGACCCTGGAGGAGGTGGTAGCCAGGCGCCACTTGGTGAGGATGGTCTCACGCAAGTGTCAGCCACCTCTCCTGTAGTTCTCTTTGGGTTTGGCCCTTTGGAACTTTCATTGTTACTGTTCCCAGTGTCGCTAGGGGGTTTCCCCACAGCTTCACCGGTGATGTTTTTATTACTATTATTACCAGATCTCATAGTGTTCCTATGAGTCGCTAGGGACAGTCGGTCCACTTCTACAGAGCCCCGCATATAGAAGTAAGGGGTAAAATACAATGGGGTGCCCCCGGTGCCCCAAGGTTGAGGCTGTCCGTAGCTCCGCCCGGTATCGTTATAGGTGCAATTCCCTAGCCACGACACTACAGTCAGGGACAAGACGATGAGTGAGATGCTTCTTAGACCAAGCCAAGTGCTAGGGGGGATTCCCCCCCAGCACCTGACCAGGAGCCAAGCCCCACCAACGACAAGGTCTTGCATCTCCTAGGGGAAGAATTAATAATAATTGCTCCAAATACTGAAAAACTGAATTGAATCTGAATCAGAAATCAATATAATAATAAGTTATGAAAATGAACGTCTCTGTTGTTATTAAATGCATTCGTCAAGAAATGAAATAAAAATTTTAAGTTGTTACATTATTTTACCACACTGTCTAATACACATACACAATTCGGTTTTTTAGTATTTGAAGCAATTATTATTAATCAATGCAAACAGTCAATTAATGTAGTTTGAATACTGGAATCATATTAATTGGTCAGAGTCATACAGAGTGTCTACAAATTTATTTAAAAAAATGTCTAGCTTTAAACGGTAATAACTTGTTTAATTTAAATGGAACACCTTGTATATTTTAGGAGAATCAGATGGACAATTTAACTGTCTATAAAGTTGTATTGCCATTTTTTACCTATCCCTTCAAGTTTTCATAGAAAATGCATTTTCTTATAATTTAGACCACATTTATCACTATACCCATGGAATATTGACATTTTAGGTTATTTTTAAAGATGTAACAAAATTTCAAAAAGTACAGATGATACTAATATATAGTTCGCTTATTTCATTAAAAGATAAAAAATTGTTTAAATATTTTTTATTAAAGAGGACCAATTAATATGATCCCAGTATTCAAACTACATTACCTAATTGACCGTTTACGTTAATTAATAATAATTGCTCCAAATACTGAAAAACTGAATTTTGTATGTGTATTAGACAGTGTGGTAAAAAGTAACACCTTATAAATTTTAATTCATTTTTTGACAAATGCTTATTTATACCTAACAACAGAGACGTTCATTATCATAACTTATTATTGTATCGATTTCTGAGTCAAATCCACATTTATTTAGAATAATTTACTAATTAAAACAACAATTAATACAAACAACAAGTATTTAATTAACTAGTTTTTGGGTAGAAATAATGGTGGTATATTTATTAATAATGGTTGATTATACGAAAACGGAAAGATGTACAGTACGTCTGCTGGATCTGTGTCTATGAAAGGAATGCGGACAAAAAACATTTAAATAAACAGCAATATATTTTATACGTCGGCGTCGACTTGACGAGTACGTCACCGCGAATCGCTCCGCCCACTCATTTTATTGGCTACTTGTAAATTTATCGATTTTTTATTGATGGGACGCGTCCTCTAAGTTTTTACGAAAAACATCGAGAGAATATCGTTTCCCCTCTCACGGATACCCCGTAGCTACAGAACGGACAGACGTACTGTAGAAACAAACTTTGTTATGGATATATGATATATGTAGGAAGGCAATGTACATAATTTAAAATTATTTTCAAATGTATAGGGTGTGTCAGAACTAAGATCCACACTAAAGTTATATTTTTTCTTATGGAACACCCAGTATTTTATTTCATTTTTGGATTCTTGGACATAAAATAAGGTATTTGTTATAAAGGTTTAGTATGTTTAAGTGCTTTGGTTTTTGAGATATTTAACACAAAAATGTTTAAGCACTAGTTGCGAAAAAAAGAGAAGGTATACCATTAATATTGCAAATTATATTTTATCCTCATAGTATATGTATATTTAATTTTTTGATTATGTAATGGACACTTTGTTTACTCACTTGATTAACTTCACACCTAACCTAACCTAACTGCTTGAATTCATTTTTGTTATTGATCAAATTGGTTTGAGAAGCTGTGAAGTTGTAAAATGTTGATTCGGGAGAGTTGAATTTTCGGGAAAGTTGAGAATGTTATTGCACACAACAACCACGTAATTACCTCCTTCACGCGTTAACATTTTTTCGACCATTTTATTAACATTTGAAATTGTCAGAACGCAATGCGACGCCCAGATCGAGTTCTTTTTCACTTAATTTTTACTTAGTGATGGGAAAAACCGATTAATTTCAATAATCGAGTGCTCGAGTTTCAAGCGATTGCAATAATCGAGCGATCGCTTGAGCAAAATAGGTATCGCTCGTATTTAAAAATACGGTTTTTCGACCGTCACGCGTCGCTTGTTGTAAGTACTCGTTAACGCCAAGCAGTAAGTTGCGTGCGCAGGGTACATATTCTTTCAATGATGAGTGGCAAGTAGCAAGCGATTCGCTTGATCGCTTGATTTAGTTTATTTCAAAGCATTGTATGCATGTAGGTGGTAAAATTTTGTCCCTCAGATACGCTACGGATAACGTCGTATAAATTTGCTATGTATGTAGAAAATTCGCTCGGCTTTTTATCGAGTATGTCACATTAAAATCGGATTTCAATTTATTCCATTTTAGAATCGCTTGCGTTCGTCGCTCGTAACTCGTCACATGCATCGCTCGTTCATAATCGAGCGATGTCGGTTATTTCAATAATCGAGTACTCGAGCAAATTTTCGCTTGAGTTATCCCATCACTATTTTTACTACCCGAAACAACGTTACATCACACAAACCTCGTATCTGAGTATTTTATAGTTTCAATAACTGCACTAGACAAAAAACTTAAATACTTAAATATTATGACAAAGCCACGATTTCAATATTATTTTGATGCGATCAACATGTACTGTAACCCGGACGGCGTGAAATACATAGCGAAAATCTATGATTTCTGCCGTAGAGAGCGCCGCGGTCGGAATTTCTTGAAATCCCTAAAATGCAGCAAGCCTATGCTCAAAAATAATATTGTGTGTCTTAACACTACCTAAAACTTTTCTATTTAACTATATTTCGTAATTCTCAAAACAAACGAGATAATTAACTTTACGCTACCATCGACTTGACTCACCCTGTATTTTGTATTTTAGTCAAGATCTTGGTGTTATATGGAGAACAGTTAAAGCATTATACAATATTTCCTTAAACGAGGACTTGACAGTCGACGTGAGGAAGATAATGCTTCAAGAAGCTTATGATATTCTAATGAAATCAGCAACATTGGGTAACTATGTATTAATTAAATAAATTTCTTTAAAAATAAATCTTATTAATAGCTATGTAGATCTTACAACTAAGGTAATAAGTAAAAACATCCATTCAGATTATTTTATACATACAGGGTGAGTTTTCTATGATCTTCTCTATGAGTATCTTGGATGCTTCTTCTTTATGTGCCTTGTCCTCGAAGAACGTTGGCAATCAATGGAGTTCTTGGATACTGTTGGAGCTAAAGCGTCGGTCAAATGGGGAAAGAAGAAAAAATTACAGTTTTGTTGGTCCATCCGGACCCTCTATATCATAGGGGGTAGGCGGGTGTGTAGTTACGCCACTGGAATCATAATAGAATGAGAAAACCATGCCAACTAGTAAAATTAGCCAAAAAAAGAATTGGCTATACATATAAGGCCGTATTAAAATATTCATTGCTATAACTCAGTAATTTTTCGAAAACCTCGTATTATAGCTTATATCACAGGAAAGCTTAAAAAAGGCTTTTTATCAAGTCACGGCCAACTATGGTTTCCACTTAAAAAATCATATATTTGTGTCATATGTCAAAAATGACAGGTTTTAGAAAAAAGAAACGGAAAACACAGTTTCATTGAAATGGTGGAACTTTTATCTGAAAACATTTTATCTAAAGTGAATAATTATAATGGAATTAGGGAACATTTTTTTAAATAGCCGAAATTTGCTTTTTTTTCGAAATATCAAGGAAGCCATAAACTTTTTCAAAATCCTGAAAGGCACATATTATGTTCTATATTTGATCTCACAAAACTACAATTCTTTCCCCGTTTGGCCCACTCTCTAGCTCCATCATTTTCGAGATCCTATAGAGAACATCGCAGAAAACTCACCCTGTATATTCTATGACAGAACGTGAATGAACATGACAGTTCCCATCATTATACAGGGTGGTCCAAACTGTATTCCGGAAACTTCGGCAGCATATTCTGCAGATAAAAATAAGTAAAAAAGTTCGTATAAATGTATGTCCTAAAAAGCTTAGTTTCGGAGATACAGGGTGTATAAGTTTCATTTTTATTTCGATTTTTTCCAAATAATTTATGAAGTAACGTCCCAAGGATACTATTATATAGAGATAAGGATAGTTCGATTCCTATCTTCCTGCACTGTCAGTTTTTTTACGTCATCTGATGACCGAGTTGAAGTTGGCGCTAAAGATTTTAGACAGTGACAGTTATTTTTGCATTTGACGGACGAGCGCACAGTGCGTTGGAAGATGAATTTAGCGGGACAAGAGCGTTTTGTTAGAAATAAGCCAAAAAATGTGTACTGTAAGAATAAATAGTAGACATTCCAATTGATATAAAAATGCATGAATATTCTTTGTATTTCGATACATTTTTATCAACCAAATTTGGTCGTTTTTTGCTCAGCAAGGCAGAGATCATACGAAAATAAAATATTTACAAGTGTTTATACATTTTATTCCAAAGCCAAATTATGTTGAAGATTGCCAAAGGTATGTACTTTTCTACTGTACGTATATTATTTGTTAAAATCCTTCGTGCTTTTATTCTGCAGATATCAAACTTTCACTTTTTTTCAAATATCGATATATTAAATAATGTAGATCTTTTGAGTTACCAATAGTTACCAACACAGGTAGTCACAGTCACAGGGAGTTCAAGCTTAACAGATGAATGCCCAAAAAGTTTCATTTCAATCGGATAGTATAAAAACAAAACAACTCCATCAAAAGGCACTGAGTTTAAAAAATTGTCTTAGGTACTTACTATATATGAATTTACAATTACCGAGTGTTAAAATTAAAATTAAAATATTGTTACGGATTCCGTGGGTCCACTAATTTAAACTCACGATAAAATACTTAACGAATTTATTTTCTCACTTTATACACAATTACTAACTTATAACACACAACAAACTAACTATTTATAAGATTCCTTCACCAAATTGTCCGATTTTCAATTTCCACGCGGTATTTCAAATTTCAAAAACTGTCTCAGTTGTCGATGTATGTATTTGGCAATAGTTTATAATACGGTTTTTGTGTGTCATGTACGAATAATATCATAGTTTTATTATCTTGTATTTATTAATAAATTAAGTTGTTAATAAATAAATAAATTTAACCATATAGTTGCTATATATTAGAACATTTGCTACGTTTTTAGATTTTAAGTCCCAAACATTGCTCTTGAGTTTTTGTCCCGCTAGAATAACCATCCGCCGCACTGTGGAGCGCTGGTCAGCGCGTGACGTAGCATTCCACGGCGACTACGACAGCGGCGATTTGACGCGATCGAACAGTCCTTTAGAATATAAAATATACAGTCCTTGGTAACGTCCATATTTCGATGAAAATTGGTGCATAGAAGTTTTTTCACATGAGAAATTTGATTTTCATGTCATCATGACTCTTATTTGTAGGGGGCGCCACCTACATGTATTTTAACTGTTTAGAAGAGTAATAACTTTTCGTCCGTACCTGTATAAAACTACTGAGTGAAAAATATACACTTACGACTTTTTTTTACGTAAAAAAGGTATCTTGGTAAAAATCGCTACGAGTAATGGTTCTCGAGATATTTGGAGTCGTAATTATCAATACCGGTCATTGACATAAATTAAACATGTTGACTAAATAGTTATTAGACTGAAATCATAAATTTGAAATGTTTTTGTGCCAAAAGTTCAACAAAAACTGTTTTATCATATCATTTTTTCGCAGAAAAATTTATGATTAATTTAAAAAAATAAAAATTTCACAAATTTATTGTTTCAGTCAAATAACTATCTACTCAACGTGTTTATTTTTTGTCAGTAATGACATGTATTGACTATTTCCATTCTAAATATCTTGAAAACGGTTGATCGTAGCGATGTTTACCAAGAGACATTTTTAACGTAGAAAATCAGGAAAATGTATATTTTTTCACTCAGTTGTTTCATACGATTCATCGATTTTTTTGCAAATAATTTCTAAAGTAACGTGAATATTTAGATCAAAATTGGTGTCTAGGAGTTTTTTGATATGATAAATTTAATTTTGATGTCAGTATGACTCCTATTTGTAGGGGGCGCCACCTACAAATTTATGAATTCAGTCTAATAACTATTTCTTAGTCAACATGTTTAATTTATGTCAATGATGATAGGTTTTGATAAATTAGATTCCAAATATCTCGAGAACCATTACTCGTAACGATTTTTACCAAGAGACCTTTTTACGTAGAAAATGTTGTGAATGTATATTTTTTTACTCGGTATTTTTATACAGGTATAGACGAAAAGACGAAAACTCTTCAAACTAGTTAAAAAATATGTAGGCGACGCCCTCTACAAGAAGGAGTTTTATTAACATCAAAATCAAATTTCTCATATCAAAAAACTCCCAGACACCAATTTTCATCCAAACATTGACGTTACTTCATAAATTATTTGGAAAAAAATCGAAATAAAAATGAAACTTCTTCACCCTGTATATCCGAAACGAAGCATTTTAGGACATACATTTATACGAACTATTTTACTTATTTTTTTGTGCAGAATATGCTGCCGAAGTTTCCGGAATACAGTTCGGACCACCCTGTATATGTATATTTTCTCGATTTTTTTAGTTACAACAAATGCAAAATTGCTCATTCGTTGCCAGCAATGTAGCGCAACCATAGTGTAAGAAAACTAGTCGCTTTAAGGGTCAGTGCGCATTATCAGAGACGAATTGTTTCGGGGACGTTAGCCCTTATGACATTTAGACACAAAGATATTAAAACACAGCTAATCCTGTTAAAAATTGAGATGCAATTTTAATGTTTCAAATAAATAAATAAGCGTTTTAATCGCCCCATTATCACCCACAATGTGGTTGACTGGTCAGTGATACTTTTGCTGTGAAGCCGTTAATGCAGGGCCGTATCTGAGGGGGTGTTTTGGGGGTTCAAACCCCCCCCCGAAATTATGGCCGAACATTTTTAAAAAGTAAGGATCATTAAGTAAGCAAGTAAGAACGAAACAAAAAAGAAGAAGAAGAAGATGGATGAATATCAATGACTAAAGAATACAAGGACATGTAACGCCCATATATGGGCTGCAGCAGAATTTGTGACCTTAGACGCCAACTTTTACAGGGTGCTACAAATTCAAAGTATTGGTACGGTACAAGCATTGGTATCTCGATAACAGTAATAGATACGAACATGGTTAAATTGGGATAAAGTTGCGCTTTGGGATGTTCACCAAGATGCCATAAAAAAAAATAATATAAGTTAACTTTTATTTCGTATTTAAGACTAACAAGATGTGGAATTTCTTGAATATAACCGTTGATTGGAAGAATGGAGAAGATACTCAACCTATGGGCGTATTCGATTGACAAGGCTGATTTCATTTCCCTTATGTCTAAAGTACTGTAGTAATATGTAATCTTTGGCTTTGAATGTATGGTAGAGCCACCACTCGTTCTGCAGCCAACGCATAAAACACTCATTTCCTCTAATTCGGCCAGCTAACGCAAATCGAAAACGGTGTGGAACTGAAAGTGACAGTGTTGCCATATCAAATTGTATAATATCTGTAATACCCTTGACGAAAATAACTTTGGATGAAAAATTCGCGTATTGTATATATTATGTATTGAAAATGTATTCGTGCTAAACGTAGAATAACAACATAATTAAAAATTCTTTCATAGGTACTGAATATTTCGTATGATGACATTTATCATATACCGGGTGCGTCTCAAAAGTGGCTCACCCCCTATAACTTTTTTATACTTTCAGATATAAAAACGAGGTTTGGTATGTTAGTATATGACATAAATTATGATTGATTGACGTATTCAATTCTTTTTGGCCACTTCCTGTTTCACCGGAAACGACTATAACTTTTGATTTTTAAATGGCACCCTCGGTATTTTTTGACTTTATTTGATAGAAAATGACACTCTGAATATAATGATATATCATATGTTAACTTTGACATTTTCGCTTAAAACAATATTGCATTTTAAATTTCAATCTAGGGTGCCATAGCTGTGTTAAAAATATTAATTTTTAATCAAGGAGTCTTGAAAAAATAGATTTGATCGTCTAAAGTTTTTAGTGTCTTGTCCTGGCCAGTTAAAAGATGCCCAAATCGTAATTTTAATGATAGGTATCTCAATTTTTTTCAAATGGGACGAGGGTGGCTCATTAGCATATTTGGAAAAAGTATTTTTTACGAATAATTTGGTACCACACACTTGGTATTTCGAGTCAAATTGTCGTTATGAATCGTATGTCTGTTTCAATTTAAAATGAACCATATTCGAAAATGTCAAGAATTGACATATGATATGTGATTCTATTCAGAGTGTCATTTTCTGTCAAATAAAGTAACAAAATACCGAGGGTGCCATTTAAAAATCAAAAGTTTTAGTTATTTCCGGTAAAACAGGAAGTGACCGAAAACAATTGAATACGGCAATCAATCCCAATTTATGTCATATACTAACATACCAAATCTCGATCTTTTTACATGAAAAAATAAAAAAGTTATAGGGGTGAGCCACTTTTGAGATGCTTTTTTACTTAACATCCGAGATGTAGCTGGCGATACCGTCGCCGCTAATCAACATGTCCAAGATTTAGTTTAGCTCTGCGCCGCTGCGCGCTGATAGTCGTTTACAGAGCAGCGGATAAAGAATACTGTACCACGGCATATAAATCACACGGCAGGCTAACTCGCTTTGGCGGGAACGCTACGCGCATATCCTCGCGCACGCCGCCATTTGCGTTTCCATCAACAGAAAGTAACCAGTGTCGTAGTTTTTTCAGCGACAACACACAGTTACGGCAGATTCGAGTCAGTAGCGTGCGGCTTAATTTATTTTGATTTTTTCTTGAGTGATATATTTTGTTTTTGTTGTTTTATTTTTGTTTATTATGTGATATATTTGGTTTTTCTAGTTTTATTTTCGTTTCTTATGTAATATAGTTGCCAATAGGTGCCCGGTGGCGTAGAGGTACAGGCTCTCGTCTACCAATCTCAAGGTAGTGGGTTCGAATCCCACACCCGGCATTTCATCAGCCGACAATTTTTATTAAAATAAAAATGGTTTGGGTACCTAAGTCGACTCAGCCTTAAATGAGTACTTGGGATTCACAATCCTGAGGTAATAATAGGCGGTTGAAGCGTAGTGCTAGCCACATTACCTTCCTTTGTATACCGAACGGCTCTAGTATGGCAAGCTGTACCTTGCTACTCCCAAGGCGTCAAACGCTATATACGGGAGCTATTATTATTATTATGTAATATAATTTGTTTTAGTAGTTTTATTTTTGTTGTTCAATAAAAGTTTCTTTCTGTTTCCTAGAGATCCTATTAGGTATGTATATATGTGATTAATTATTTTAACATATTTTAGTTGTGAAAAAAAACAGTAGTATACATATTAGGACATTCAGCTAAATAGGAAGATATAATTAAAAATCTTAACAAACTTTAATATTAGTAAGATTTAATGTGGTATGTAGACATTAAAAATTAAATTTAAAAATCATTATACTATTAATTTAAATATAATTATAAAAGTAAATAAAATGAGTATATCCAAAATAAGTTAACAATACATTTTTAGGGCAAGAACATGGGCAATTGCAGCTAATAGAGAAGACTTGATTGAAGATATATATAAGGCCCACAAAAGGTACAAGTTGCGTTCTGTTCATTTTGAATTTAAAATGTTTACCAATTCACTTTGTAACCGTATAAAATACAATGCGGTACCTACTTTGTTTCCTGCCATGAAAAAAATAGAAGTTTCTCAAAAAAAATTGTGAATTTATTAATTTGTGAAATTTGAATATTAATAAAATTTGCTACGCCCATTGATGGGAATAATTTGTACGTATAGCCTCTTTATATTGTTCAATAAATATTTTATTGGTATTTCTTTAATTCTTATTTGTAACTCCTGGCATGTTTTTGTTAGTTGCATGTTTTTTAATTTTAATTGTCTATTCTCTACAGTGAAATATTTAATTGATTTTTTCATTTTTACTTTTCGAGAAGTATGCGCGGTTAACGATTCATTTGTTTGGACAAAAGTATTGTGTAAATAAAATTGAGTTTCAGTCAATTACAGTATTTTTTTAATACGACCCTGTCGTATTTTCTGAGAAATTTTTTGATACGTTTTAATCCGGCCCTGACTAGGAAACGATAATGGCGCCGACAAGGTCAAATTTTATAGAAATTTTAAACAATGGAATCTGAGCAGAGTTGGCGTGCCGATTGTTTTATGTGCCGTGACTGTACCGTAGTTCTGCTCTGTCGACAAAGTGGGTGGTTGCCGGAGACAGTGTTGCCAGAACTACGGATTAATCCGTAGATTTACGGATTTTGGGTACAGTACGCTAATAATACGGGTTTTCTATCATTAAACAATTTAACGTAAGGGGAAATCAAATCAGCCTTGTCACGAATTTGTCCATTAGGTTGCGTATCTTCCTAATTCTTTCAATTGACGGTATTGGGCTATTTGGCAAATCCGCTATTCGGGGCATCTCTATTTTATTAATTATACTCGTAGTGTTATATTATATACTTAATTTTTAGTTTTATTTTGTGTAAATAAACTTCGTTAATTAAATAAGACTTTGAGGGTGCATCCATACCATCCTAGAAACAGCGGAACGGCGTATCACCTTGAATAGATTTCCGGTAATTCTATTGGCTAAAATTTTTGACAGATGAATTTGACAGATAAAATTTCTGACAGATGAATTTTTCAGCCAATAGAATTGCTGGAAATCAATTCAAAGTCGTTACGCCGTTCTGCTTTTTTTAGGATGGTATGGGTGCACCCCAGCACCCTGAATTATCCACACGGAACTCAGTAAGAACGTAACAGTATTAATAAGCGTTTTAAGAATTGCATTTATTTCTCATTTGATTATAAATGAATATAGCACAGAATATACTAACGAAAGAATATAGGTTAAATAAACTGACTCATAGTCTAAGAGCTGGCTACATAAAAAACCTTATCATCGTTACATGGCCAATTTTTTGTGTGAAGTATCCTTATATGTAGCCATTATGAAATAGTCATGTCTGCCAGCGCGATCCCGGGGCTTAAAGCGGGGGCGGCCAATCGAAAGGGTGAAATTTTGACACTAAAAATATTATAAGATACATGAGTTATAATTGCGAAAATAGCTTTTATTTATAATTAAGAAACCTGGAAAATTGTTGGCAGACATTTTTCCAGTCGCTAAAATGCCGACAGACAACGCGAAATAGGCATGAAATTTTAAAAATTATTAAAAAATAAAATTTGAAGAATGAAAAAAAAGATGGCATATTTGCATGCCGATTGTTGAAATGTCTTATTTATTTATTTTAAAAGCCGTATGCAAAAGGGCAGACAAAAAGATCGTGGCTCAATCAGCTGCAGACAGTTATCAAAAGCGCGATATTACTCCAGCGCTTTCAGGGAACGCTCGCCGCCTCATCTATTTAAGTATAGATAAATCATATAATATACCTACGATTATATTATAAATATATTTTTTTATTATTTCAATAACGATATTTTTGTCTGCCCTTTTGCATACGGCTTTTTAAATTAATTAACAATAAACATGCCATTCCACCAACCGACATGCATGTATGCGATGATTTTCTTTTGTCAAAATTATATGCCTCTTTCGCGTTGTCTGCCGACATTTCAGCCACGAGAAAAATATCTGTCAACAATTATACACGTTTCTTAATAATAAATAAAAGCTATTTGGCAATTACAACTCGTGTACCTTATAATATTTTTAGTGTCCAAATTTCACCCTTTCGATTGGCCGCCCCCGCTTTAAGCCCCGGGATCGCGCTGGCAGACATGACTATTTCACAATGGCTACACAAAAGGATACTTCACACAAAAAATTAGCCATGTAACGATGATAAGGTTTTTTATGTAGCCAGCTCTCGGTCTATCACTTAAATGGGGTTTAATTTGTGTAATGTTATTTTCAAGTTGTAATTATTATTTCATACGATTTCAGGTGATGGAAAGGCTTACTATCACAAATGGTTAGCTGTTATTTTAAATGCCAAAAATGGCCTTGAAAGTTTAGAAACCAAAGTGACTGAATATACAAAGATACAGGACCATCTTAAAATTGCTTGCCAAACTAATCCTAAAGATTTTACAAGTACGAAAATAATACTACATAATTATTTTATCTAAAAATACGCATCGCGTTTGTAAACAGTTCAGTACATGCTCGGCAAATATCACTATGAAATGGCCAATATGACTTGGTTTCAGAGATTCTTGGCTAGATACCTGTTTAAAGAGCCTCCTAAATCTAACTTTGAAGAGGCTTACAAACATCTAAATAAAGCTGAAGAATTACTGCCTAGAACGTTCTTACCTAATGTGTATCTACTAGGTAGTGTTTGTATAGAACTTGGACAATATTACAGGTAACTTAAGTCAGAGTTTTATATAAAACTTTTTGACGTTTTTTTTAGCTAAAATAGGTACATAATATTTTTATTTTATAGGGCAAAATATTATCTCAATATGGCTTTGAATTTACCTACTCATACTGAGTGTGACCAATGCTGCTCAGCTAATGCCAAGAGAATTTTGGAAAAGTTAGAAAAGTATGATTTAGGCAAAGATCTGCTTTATGAGAATTATGATAATTTTGGTTTTCACTCTTAATATAAAAATATGTAATTCACAACAATAAAATTTATCAATTTACTATAGTAATGCATTAAAAAAGTATGGATTAAATATAAAAGTATGGATTAAAAATATATAATATAAAAGTATGGATTAAAAACAGTATGGATTAAAAACATTTCTTAACTACAGTACTTCTGCATGATGCTAGAAAAATAATTCTTAACTCTCTCTACCTGACTAAAACTCTAATGGGCTCTTTCACTATATTTTAGAATTAGCATAATTGAATAAAGCAATTAATTCTAGAATTTTCTGCTATCTCACTTTCAAAAAATTTGAAGTCGTTCTTAAGAAAATAAATAAAAACAAAAAAGCCCAGAATAAAAATCCCCACTTTATTTTTAATACGTCACACCTGGCATGTTGAAAAGCGGCAACACGGCCGGGCCACCATGCTGACCCACCACCACCTCCACACAAGGCCATTCAACCTTTTCCAATATGGCGGAGATAGAAGTGCTTTATTTGGCGCGTATTTTAAAACCTGTTTTATTTCCAAATAGACATTTTTCATACAAATGTCGGGTTAGATTACGTAATATTTCACTAATTTTTTAATATACAGGGAGTCTAAAGCTCTCCACATAAGTATGGAATTTTTTGTATTATTACTTTTCTGAAAACATCAGTTAGTTACTTTTTATAAAAAGGTCTGCTTTCTCAGAAAATAGGTAGGTAGTGTACTAGTGTGTAAATATTCAAACTTGAGGTAGCATATATAGGGTGTTCAAAATCATCGGAAAAAGAAATAACCAGAAATATATGACAGAAAATAGCAATATAAACTAAATATTCAACTGCAAACACATACCTACCATACTTTAGAATTTACTGCACGTTTGATAAATATATAATATTATGGACAGTATAGAAAGTTACTTGTCTTAGTAAAAGCCTTGGTAAATGCTCTTGGAATTATAAACTACACTGGCTTGGGTTGAAAAATATGGAATATTTTTCCTATGTTTTGCAGCATTACACAAATGGGAATAAAGTTAAACTATAATAGGTGAGGATAACTAAAAATTATAATATGTGTTTCAAGATTTTATATAGAAAAAAAACTAAATACCTTTTTATAACGTCATTCCTTTTTTTGCATAGTTCAATAAAATATTGGATATTCTGAACAAGATGGATTTAATAATAAATTCTGACGTATGTGAGGGGCAACTGTGACCTAAAAAAAGACTCACATCCAGGCCATTTATATTTTCAAATGTGAATGTTGTCAATATCTTTCTGTGATCTTTTTGATGTAAAAAGCTTGACTATTCTCCCAATATTTTACTTATAGTAAGGTAAGTGTAAGCAGTAGCCATAACTACATCCTCACTAGGGTAACAGAGGCTTTGGGGCCTTTGGCCTTTTTGAGGCATATTTAATGCACTTCTTACCCGAGAACTACCAGTAGGAGTGAAATTATCTCTTTTAATAGCTGTCAACCATTTTTTACGAAGCTCCTCATTTTTGGGGAATACAAAAGCAGAAACCTTGGGACCCCCTCTATAATTCCCGTGACAATTTGGAACCAGAGCATGTAAAAGGTATGCTACAATAAAATGTTAATACCTACCCTTTAATAACTATCTTTTGTGATTATTGTAAGTAACCATTATAAAGTACTATGAAGACTGGCGGTGAAGGCTTTTTACTCATTTAGGTGTAATATCTTGATAAATACTTCTAGTTCTTACCTTAAAATAATTAATAATAGAGGAGTAAGAAAAGCAAAAAGTTTGAAGTTCCCTATGTGGATGTCTGGTTTGGATTTTTATTACACTGTTATTTTATCACAATTTTCTGATCACACCAATGACCTCTAAATAAAGTAGACCCCATTTCATTCATAAAAAGAAAAAGATCAGAATCAGACATTCGTTTCTTGTTCTATGCGAGTGGGAACAAGACGGGCTAATCGCAGTCATGAAGGATTCCCGAGAGAATGGCAACGCTGTTCAGAGATCTTGAGAATGTGTGCCAGTGGCGTAGTTACTTTGATTGTAATATATAATTTAATATTATATTCTCGTAAATATGATTTTTGGATACGATATATTGTTGTGCTAGATGGCTCTTCAAATTTTGAAAATGACTACTTCTATACTCCAATCACTTCTATACGAAAATAACTAATTGAAATTATGATATGCACATTTCCACAGTAATGTCTGTAAATTGCTCCAGTAGTAATATAATCCATCAAGCGTTCAATGAATACGAGCCGAAGACGACTTTTATAAAACATTTATGTGAATTAATGGTATTATTTTGATTGAAGCAACGGTGAAAAATGAGAATATTTTAAAACTGTACGTGACGAATTGCAATTTAATATTAGGTATAAAAATATTACTATTTATAACAACAATAATAAAGATCTTTGTTAAACAAAAGAAAATTTCTAAAATATTTACTTATTTCTGGATCAGTTTCTTCGCGGATAATCGGGATCTTGTACTGAATAAATAATTAACTATTCAATAAAACATATCAAACAAAGACGCATTCATCTTTTAAACTATATAATTTTTTTTAGTCTTAATAAACAAAACAAAAAATACATTCCTCCATTACAAAAATTATACTATCAAAAAAAAACGGCGTTAAAAATGACAATCGGTGATAATTTTGGCAAGGTGATATGTCATGACCCCTACTCTTGTTTATTTTTTAATGACACTTACGGGCAGTAGTACGCCTTAAGGTTGTATTTGATTTTTAAATGGTGTAATATAAATTCGAAAATTTTTTTTGGATATCGATTTGTGTTGCTGGAAACGTTCTATCCTTTTATAATATTTCTATAATCAATATTAGTTTTTGACAAGTTTTATGTCAATTTTTAATAAATGACATCTAGAAATAGACCTCGCCAAAATTATATTCGATTGTTATTCCCAGCAGTCTTTGACGCCGTTTTTTTTTTCGATCATACTGTATTTAATATGTAATATCCATTATATAAATCTATTTTGATTTTACACTTGAAAAATCATCTTTAATTAAAAATCCTAATAACAATCAGTATGATCGAAAAAAAAGGCGTCCAGTTGGCTTAGAAATGAACATCGATGACATTCCCCATATACGCCGTTTTTTTTTTCGATCATATGGTATATCACTATTGAACATTTTTCGTAATTGTGACATCATTAATTTTTTTATATATTTTTTCAACAAATTAATATTCGCATTTGTATACTTGGCAGGAATTTCCCCGAGCCTGTATTCTTATAAGAAAGGACATTAACTACACATGTGTTTCAGAATTTACAACCCGAGATCTTGTTCCTATCATGGTTCAGCTTAATATCGAGGATTGCAGTAAAAACATCGTTATTGCCTCTGCTTACTTTCCGGGTGACGGGGAGGCACCGCCTCCGGAGGTACGGGAGCTCGTGCGATTCTGCAGCCAACGGCGGCTACCTCTGCTATTGGGATGCGACTCCAATACACACAATGAGGTATGGGGAAGCACTAACACTAACACTAGAGGTGAGTGTTTACTTGAATTCCTCTTAGCATGCAATCTTGAAGTTCTCAATGTAGGGAACAGCCCCACGTTTGTGACAAAAACGCGGGCAGAAGTGTTAGATTTAACAATCGGGAGTGCTGGTGTAATCAGTTACGTGAAACAATGGAGGGTCTCAACGGAACCCTCCCTATCAGATCACAGAATCATCGAGTTCAAATTAGGAGGAATCACACCCCAAACAGAAACTCGAAGGAATCCAAGAAAAACAGACTGGGACATGTATAACACCAATCTCGTAGACAACCTAAACCGTATAGATGCAAGTAGGGCCAGAAACCATCTGCATCTAGAATGGTACAAGGGAAGTCAGCGGTGCAATATTGGATGCATATGAATCTAGTTGCCCCGCAAGTAAAGGCATACAAAAAGTAACAACAAGCCCTGGTGGAACAAGAAGTTGGCCAAACTTAGATCGGAGGTCCGACGACTCTTTAATAGAGCTAAATCCAGTGGCGAATGGCAGCTCTACAGCGAGAAATTAACTGAGTATAAGAAGGAGATAAGAAGGGCAAAGCGGTCTGACTTTAGATCCTTTTGCGAAAACATCACTTCTACTCCTGATGCAGCTAGATTACACAAAGCTATGGCCAAGAGTGGATCTATCCCCATCATGGCACTTAAGAAATCTGACGGAAGCTACACGGAGGGAGAGGAAGAGAGCAAATCTCCTACTTTATACACACTTTCCAGGTAGCATACCTATTGATACTTATGTAGCTCCCACTGAACCTCACAATCCTTGCAGGGAAGATTGGGAAGTGGCCAAGCTAGTAATAACAGAACAAAAAAAGCTGAAATGGGCGATCGACACCTTTCAGCCCTATAAAAGCAACAGGAGTGGATGGGATCTTTCCTGCCCTTCTAAGGAGGGTCAGCAAATAGCTACTCACCATCTACTAAGCATTACAAGAAGCAGTCTAGCGATGGGATATATACCAACCACATGGAGAAGAGCAAAAGTAATCTTCATACCCAAAATAGGCAAAACTGACTGGACAAATCCCAAGTCATTTAGGCCTATTAGTCTCACATCGTTCATACTAAAAACGCTGGAGAAAGTAGTTGACAACCATATTGGAGAAAATCATCTAAAGGTTAAACCACTGCATGATAGTCAGCATGCATATAGAACGGGCAGATCCACAGAAACTGCTCTGTACCAATTAACGGAGCTAATACAGACAAGTCTGGATAGCAAAGAAACAGCAATTTGTGCCTTCTTGGATATTGCGGGGGCGTTTGACAATATACCACATAAGGTGGTCAGGCGATCTCTAGAAACAAGAGGGGTGAACAGAACTATTATTCGCTGGTTCTGGGAAATGCTGTCAACACGAACAGCAGAGGCTCAGATGGGCACCAAAACTGTAGCTGTTAAAACAACGCAAGGAACTCCACAAGGTGGAGTAACCTCCCCTTTGCTGTGGAGCTTGGTGGTGGATGAACTACTAGATGAATTAACTCTAGCGGGAATACACTGCA